TCTGGGAAAGAATCCTCTCAATACAAAAATTGCGATCTCTCTCCCTCCCTTGAATTTGTTAGTGTTATGCTTCCTCCTTTTTATGACTCAACAATTATTTTATTTCTCTTTTTTTTACTATAAATTTTATTTTTTAAATTTTTATATTATGAAATTAGGATTTTTTATATTTTAAAAAAGAAAATTAACATAAGACGTTGCAGTATCTTAGAATTTAATACTAAAAATATTTCTTCACGAGTGAATAATTGAAAGTAATTAAAAAATTAAAAAAAATTATTTAGTACTTGTAACAAATTTCATTTTTTTTTCTCTTAATTGATGTTTGTAAATTTCTAAGATATTTTAAATGAATAAAAGTGTATCAAAGACAAACTTTCACTCAAATATCAATATAAAATGCAGGAACATATTTAGTTATAAGAAAGTATGGTAGTTGTCCCACTATTTTTTTAATCATTTATAAATAAAATATTTTAAATCACAAATTATAAACAATTTGAAATATTGTTTAGAATAATTTTTAGCATGTGCAACACTACATAACTTTCTTCGTAAAGAATGTCATTATGATGAATTTTCAATTGGAGTGGTGGACGAACCTTCATCTTCAATATTATCAATTAATGAAAATCTTAATTTTGAACCTATTATTAAAACTAATGTGCAAGAGCGAAAAAATGCTAATATTTGGAGGACTAGTATAGTTATAGATATATATGTGGGCGAATGTTATTTAGAAGGACATGATATTACAAAGAATTATTATTATTATTTATCCAAACCTTGTTTTTTTTTGTCTTTGACTATTTTTAAATTTAAATATATGAAAGAAAATCTTGAACTCTTATTGTATGTCAAAAATCTATGAAATTCTACAAACTTCATAAAGTCCCGCAAAATCCATTAAAATCTTAATTTAAAAGTCTTGCAAAATCCATTAAAATCCTGATTTAAAGTCTTACGAAATCCTACAAAGCTTTACAAATCATGAAAATCCTGTAAAATCTTAAAAGTCATGAAAATCTTATAAATTCTTTTAAAATTCACAAGATTTTTTTAACTAAAAACGTTCTTTAAAATCTTAATCCAATACATCCCCGTAAACTTATTTTTAGAGTAAACGAATTTTCTCACACACACACATATATATATATATAAGTAATTTTCTACTCTCTTTTTTTTTTCAAGAAGATTATGGTCTACTTGTTTTTTTTAATTTTTTTTAAATCACTTATTTTAAGACCCACATTTAGTCGCAATTTGTTGTTCTATAATTGGGATTTGAGAATCAAGCGCCATTGTCTAAATCATAAATATACGAAAACTAATGAGAAAAGAAAAATAACTTGTTTATTTATTATCTAGTCCATAACACTCACAAGCAACTCAACGTGAGAAATCTACAAAAAAAATAAGGATGCAAATTTAAAAATATTTTTGAAAATTTTTCTGTTAACCCGCTATATTCCAACACCACTGCATCGATAACTGCAACCATTGCACACACTACTTGAGTAGCTTTGAAGATTCCTTATTTCTTCTGTGTAACCATGTCATGTGTACCAAAGTCATGTTATATTAAGAATTGGTTATATATTAAGAATTTGAGATTCATTTTGTCAATACCTAACATTTTTTTATCATAGTTTACGAATACTTAAGTTCTGATTGTTTAACAAATAGCAGTCCAACTGTGTTTGAAATCTTTATTGTCTAATTATCTAAAAAAATTATCATTTACCAACTATTTAACAAAAAATTTAAAAAGTTTTAAGATTCAAAATTCTTTCTCTCTGAGTGCAGGGAGTCCTCATATGCTAGACTCGGGTTGATAATTTAGCATGAAATTGAAAAATAATAGAATGAAAATGTTGATAATTATAGGTAGATTGAACATTGTTCTCAATTTATCTCTGAATAATAACCTCGATTTCCAAACCCTGCTCACTAAACTTATTGTAACGAAATAATAACACCCAACAAAACTCTACCAATTGAAAATCTAACCACAAACAACAGAACAACAAATTAACTAAGTAGCCTTTGTCAGTAGTTAAATACTCTAAATGCTTAGGTAGATTGAGCATTTTTCTGAAAAATATTATATATTTATTTATTTATTATTAAAATTGCGCCTCATGCAGTTCAATTTAAAATTGCACCGGTACTCGTGTACCATTTTATTGTAACCAAAAAAATATTATATATTAATTTATTTATTATATCCTCTTCTTTGAATCTCAAACACACGGGGCCACTCAATTGGGGAAGAATAAGTTATTAATAAGGAAAAGGTGAGGCTGAGTAAGTGTGGGATCCTCATAATAGAAGAATGCAAATTGTTGGTGTGTTATTTCAAGGGGGACAAGAGAAAAGAGTTTGAGTTTGGTGGGTAGTTGGGTCCTATACTAGGTTTTAGTAACGTACAGTAGAAAACATGTCAAGAAGCCTTTATTAATTCTCGTGCCTTGTCTATTGTATTAATTAATAACTTTTTTGGTACATTTAATTACATTTAAAAGCATGAATTTGTTTCTTTTTATTTTTTATTATATTTTTTATAATATTATTTTCTACTATTTTTTATAGCTTATGGTTTGTATTATTTTAAAATATTAATATATTATCATTGTAGTTATATTCTAGATTTAAAATCTAACTTTATGAATTATGTATAGAATATATTATGTTAAGAAAGAATATTCATTTTGTGTATTTATAATCTTCAATAAAGATTTTTAATATATAAATATTTCCTATCAATATAATGATTTTTTAAATTAAAATATTTAAATGCATGATAGAAAATAATTAACTTGGTGGTTCTAAATTATGCCTTGTTTGGTTAAAATAAGTTAATACATATGAGTTTTTTCAATATAATTCATGATGTGTATGTCTTAATTGTAACCTTTATAAAAGATTATTTCACGTTTCTTTTCTGTTTAAAATATTTACCGAGAAACTTATCTAAACATGATTACATCGATCAGCTTCTCTTACTTCTTAGGTTTTACTTCACATCATTGTTCAGATTGAGATATACTGCAGTTATGTTTTTAATTAAGTACACCAATCATAAGCTTTCAAAAGACTTGTTTCAAAAAAATAATCGGTGATGGATTTAAAATTGCTCCTCATGCAGATCAATTTAAAATGGGTGGAAGAACAACCCTCAATAGTGTTACATTTGAAATTCACAAATGTTAACAAATTATTATTATTCTATACATAAGTCATAAAATTAGATTTTAAATCTAGAATAATTATTATTTTAATATTAACAAATGTTGATACCGACCGGTTAAAAAAGAACATGTGGTTTAAAATCACCAAATTTCTTGATATTTTTCTGTGTACCCCACCAATTACAACCCCTCAGGAGTTGAGTTTAAGATTTACGGTTGATATAAAAATTACTATATTTTTATGGAAAACTCTACGGCAGTCCATGGATACCGGTACAGTCGAATATTTTTTTATTTATTTATTGTAATTACTTATTTTATTTTTATTTTAATTTATTACTTTTAATAATTTATTTTTATAAAATTTTCTATATCTTTAAATTATTTTTATATTTTTTAAATTTTATTTTAATGTAGCATCTATTATAATTAAATAATTTAATATTAATATTTTGTTAATA